GGAAGAAGAGGTTGGGTTATGTAAATGATTAATATTTCACCGCATTTAGACGAAGCAGGAAGAAGAAACGACATTTGAAGCACTGCAAAACAAACGTTGTGTAGTGGATTTCTAATTCGGAAAGCGCTTTGTAAGGTTGGGGTTTGCTCCGAATATCGTGTTAAGTCTCGAATTATAAGAAGAAATGCTTACCAGCAAATGTCGGAATTCGATAGAGGCAGGATCGTTGCCTATCGAGATTGTGGATTATCGTTCCGTGATATCGCCCGTCGCACTGGTGGACGTCCAACCACTGTCATGCGAATATGGAATCAGTGGGTTGCTGAGGGTCATACTGAACGGCATGCTGAATCTGAACGCCCTCCCCCGACTAACGTCCGAGAAAACATACACATTTTGATGTCAGTCCTGCAAAACCGTACAACCACATCACGGACCATTAGTCAGGAAATGGGCATGTTTGCAGCACGCCCAGTATCCGCTCGTACGGCGCGTCGTACGGTGCGTTGACATTTGCATCAGCGTGAACTATTAGTCTTCTCATGATAATGCAACATACAGAGACACAGCGATCCCGGTGCGCCGAACGACTAAGCTGCATTTAGGAGTGGCACAATGTCATCTTTTCAGACGAGTCCCGGTTCTGCGTGCAGTATTCTGATGGCCGTATACGTATCTAGAGTCGCCTACTTGCATTCGATATAGGCATAGCGGCCCTGCACCTGGTGTGATGGTTTGGGGAGCCATTAAGTACATGACACGGACATTTCTATTTCGGATCGAAGGTAATTTGAATGCAGATCGGTACATTTCTGACGTCTTACGTTCAGTGGTTGTGCCCTATCTTCGAGGCCTGCCAAACGCCATTTTCAAACAAGATAATGCAGGACCACATGTTGCACTTCGTGTGTAGGGACATTAGGATTTTTTTGAAAGGAGACAAGCTGAAAAATGAGCAATCGCCTTCGCCGGGAATCGAACCACGGACCTCTGGAATAACGGATCAGCCTGCAGAACCACTACACCACGAAGGCACGCTAGAAAGGCGGGAGAAATACCTTATACGTGTTCTGATCTTAATCGATACAAAGGGTACAAATATGTGGACGCAGTCCGACTCACCTATCAGTCAAAAGACGGACATAATGGTCACAAGACCACGTCGACGTCAAACCATAAACGAAGGCAGCCAGAGACCCGAGGCGCCCCAAACGACGCACCGCACCCCCGAGAAGCCTGAGCCCCGTGCCCCGAGTAAACAAAAAGTTACGAGCCGCTTTTCTTAGCAGCTCTTTGACATATGCTTTGCGAGTTTGCAAATGCTCTACAAGTTTGCAATTGTTGATGAACTAATACAGACTGGCCATGATAAACGCCTAGCGTACTGCTACTGGTTTTAGCGATGAATCGCTGAAGGGCCTAAAGTATTGCAGTGCACGTGGTACGGTGATGAAGCATGGAAGCCTTTATTTACAGAAAGTGGACGTGTTCTTTGTATTATTACAGCGTCACAACATCAGGCCAATTTTGTGCCTCCAGTTACAACGCAAAGGCATGCAGAAAGGAGGAAGAAAATGCCTTATGTATTTTTTGAATGAACAAAATGATTTAGATTAAAAATAATAACAAATATCGATCAAATAAAAACGATATACAGTATAATATGGTATTATATATAACGGGCATATTTAAATGTATTTTGCCCTCGATAATGTTTTAATCGTGAATATATAACAGAGCCGTCTATCTTCATACGCAGTTTGAGTAAGTTCAAAGCGCTACTTTATCAGTTGCATCGAATTTACTTCTGCTTGCTTAACTTTTGAAAGCAGTGTTACACATCTATAAAATTCGCTTATCTCGGTTCAGTAGACTGCTGCCATTTTACGCGATGCTTCAGTCAATTGCGGACACGTAACGTACTTGGTTAATTTTCTGCACTCATTTTTATTATTACTCGAAAAGAGGCAATTTGTCCAGAAGGCCTATTAATTTCGTTTTGGTATTTTGCGTCGATTCACGATAAGCGTTGTTTCACTTTTCAAATTTTTGCCACCAAATATTATCGCTCTGCATTATATTTAAAGAAATTAGATAATGAAGAATCTGCATGAATATATGTATGTCTCTCGCATTGTGATAAAACAACGGTACCTAGAGCCATCGAAATTTGAATAAGGAAATCTTCCATAGAATATGGGTACGTGGAAGCCAAAGTTTGAACTGAAAATTTGTTATCAATTTCATATTTTGTAACACTTTATGATTAACAAACTCAACGATTTCAAAGCGAGCAATGGCAACACTTTAATGGAAGAGGTGGGAAAAAAAAAAAAAAAAAAAAAAAAAAAAAAAAACAGATTTCCAGCACGCGAAACTGTGTATCGGAAATTCTAAAGAAATGCTCGTTTTAAAATTATTTTGCGATATTGCTGTTGAACTGAATTTTATGGTTTATGGGCGAAAAACAGGATATTTAATAAATAAAGGTAACACACAAAATGTTAAGAAAGCGCCCCTTTGGACGTAGTTTAAAATCTGAAACCTTTCAGATTAAAAACAAAAGAAATTTTTATTTATTTTTTTAAAATTATTCAGTAAGTTTTTAGACATATAAAGATGCTTTTAAACCTGTAATACTGTTCAAATTTACAGTAAGCATCAATAATCGTTTATTAAATAATGTAAATAATTGAAGCTTCAAATTTGTTTCCTTTTCTCCTCACATTTTGACCAGCTCCAAAAAATATCGATGCTATACAAAGTACGCAAGTATAGAAACTTGCATATTTTGTATATCATCTATTTTGCATTTTATACATTATCAAGGTACTTAAAATAAAAAAAAAAAGGATTTCTAAAGTAACTCTTTTTTTTTTTTTCTTTTTGCTGAAAGAGTGTAAATAACTTCAACTCATTTTTGCTGACATATACCTTGTTATATGATTTACAGAAAATTAAAAACAAAAATAAATCAAATGTACAAAATTGTTCTTAAAATTTGTTTCCGGCACTGCTTACTTTTAAAAGAATTCCAACGTTTTTGTGAGAGAATAACAAGATTATGAGGAGCTATAGGTTGATTTGCTGGCTAGGGTCCTGAGTCTAGGTAATAATTAGGCTCTGTTCTGTAGTAAAGAGGTTCTACAAAAAAGGTCTGAAAATCTACTGACTACGTAACGAAGTGACTTTCAAACAACATGGAAAAATACGCACGAGATAAAAGAATTTTTGAAACAGTAAATAAATATGAAATATTTTAAATTCGAATTAAAAATACGAAACAATCAATATCCAAAAAAGCCTGGTTCCTATACTAAGACAAATTTTTGAGCCTTTCTAATTAAAAATGTTCTTCTTAATTTAGTCCATACTGCAAATTATTTGACCTTGGAAAGTTAAAGAATGAGCAGATTTGTTTTTATTCGTCGCTCTTGACATAGAAAGCGAATCAGTTATTAATTTTTATCATATACGTACACTGTAAATATTTGTTATATTATAAGAGAAATGTACGAGCTTGATTTATTAATTTAGTTAACACCAGCGTACTTCCTTTCCAGTGGAAGGATTTTTTACAGCAGTAAACCGAATTGATAAGAGGGTTGAAAATTTTATGGTGGTAACTCCTTATTTACATGAAAAAAAAAAGACATTCTTTACGAAAACTTTACTCTCCTTAGAGGTAGTCACTAAGGTTGTGTACAGTTTGCTGCCAGATATGTAGAAGTCACAGTTCTCTTGATGGTTTGACGAAGCTTCTCTTCCCTGAAGCACGAATGACACAGTTCGGATATGAATGCTACGAATTGGCTTTTTCGGCGCAGAAATCCAGTCATAGTCTTGGAAATTTTCCTGAGAAGAGTATGGTTGATGGCAAAGCACATTTAAACACCGTCAGGCAAGCAAATCAACCCTATTATAGTTTGTGATACATACATCTGAGCATTATCCTGCAAAACGATATGGCAGGATTTAGGAGAAAGTTATCACAGCTTGTTTTACAAAGCTGAACTTTCAAAGATCCAAGTCCAAAAATGAATAGTAATGCTGCATATTGAAGGTGTATTCTTGTAATATTTGAATAACGCCATGAGAATGACCATAACTTCAGATTGATGCGATTCTAATTCAATTTTGGTTTCCCTGGTGACCCATAATACTGCAATAATGTTTCCCTGGCATTTTAGGTTTGTCTCGTATGATCTGGCCCATGTATCTTTCAGCCTAGTGATGTGGCTTAAGAAGGCCTTTCCTTCGCTTTCACATGTATACGAGCCAGTTTCCCTTAGAAAGTCCTCCACGAAGGCACCCCTCCCCTTAGGCAGATAGCCCTCGAGGCTTTGCCATAATCACACACACACACACCTTCGCCTTCACATGGTTTACCAGCACCTTTTCTTAGACATTTCTTATCCAGCAACTTCGCTGCATCTATTTCAAGAACATCATAGTTATACAATCTTATAAAATCAATTGATATTTGCAGTCTAAGTCTATAAAGATTTCTGTATCAGATATCTAAAAGTAATGAATTAAGAAACTTTTTTTTTATTATGAATACTATTTTACTAATCCCTGTGCTTTAAAATATTTAAGACTTGCATAAAAATGTCACCTACGGAATATGAATAACACTAATTACCTTACATTAACGCAAAGGTTCAAAAACTTCATTAAACAGCACGTCTTTTTTGAAAACTAAATTTCCCCGTATGTTTGGGGAATCGAAATTTCTATTGTCCTGAGCCTAAACCTAGCGCCGCTACCTCCGCGTTATTTAATCTAAGGTATATTTTACATGTTTATTTCTCTCATATAACTGAAGCGAATGTCACTATTGCATTTTATTTTCGAAGAATTCTATTTTGACAGCTCACCGTCGAGACATGCTGCACAATTAATTTGAAACTCGACACATCACGCTGAATAGCTAATCTAAACAGTATCTGTATAAAAGCGAGAGTTTTAGGGATTTATTTTTCATTAAATGTGTTTGACTCGATTACATCGGAAATTAATTTAAGCGTATAATATTATTTTTCATATCATTCTACTATACTTGAATTTGAAGAATGCGTATTTTGGTAAGTAAAAACTAAGTAATAATGTGGAGAAATTAGAAGATTAATTTTAGGTATTTTATAATATGCGAAAACAACCTGTCGTAATGTTACTTTATTGTATTATAGATATGTATGTACATAAACCTTTTTTTTTTTTGGCAAAATAATTTAACCAAATGAAAGATGATCCTGTAGGATTGTACCTTGATTCGTAAAAGTGTGTTTTAAAATAGAAATTTTCAGGATTTATTTCGTTCTTCTGAAAGAAATTTCGCTTTTCCCCAACATAGAGCTCAATTGCATTTTTTCACAGCGAACTTCACATTATGGCAGTTGGTATAAATAAGGCTTGTTGCTCTGATGTGTATGCAGAAAGATGTATTGACAGAACGCCAGTGACAAAGCTGGTTTGCAAAATTTCGATGCGGCAGTTTGGATTTTGAAGATGCGTCACGTTCTGGAAGCCCAACTAAAGCTGATGAAGAGACAGTAAAGGCATTAATGGATACAAACCGACGAATAACAACTCGTGAGATCGCTAAGAGATTGCGTTTATCGAATTCCCCCGTTCGTGATCATTTGAAATTTTGAAATGCCTAGATCTAATCTCAAAGCTCGACATATGGGTTTCTTATGTTCTTAAGCTCTTCTTTAGCTTTAAATGGCCCTCTAAAACATCATGCATCTTCAAGATGAAAATTGCCGGATTGAAATTTTGCAAACCAGTTTGGGCACTGGCGTTCTGTCAATACATTTTCTCCATACACATCGGATATTTTTTTTTCCTTGCTTGAACAACATTTTTACCTTTTCGACATTAAAAAAGTAAAATATGCCGAAAATGCTGCTTTTCACTTTCCATATTTGAAAGGCTACCAACCAAAAACTACTGCGTGGAATCAATCGAACATTTTTACAGACAAACCTTGTAATATATTATGATTATGGGACTTAAATATCAAGTTGGCTGTGAAATAATACAATTAAATCCTCTGTTGGGAAAAAACGAACCAGACAACCCAATACATTAGAACTATGAATTTATTTTATTCTAGCTCGAAATATCTTGTGCATATTGTTGTTTATTTTGTACATTGTAATGAATAATGTTTAATGTTGCATGAAATTCCATCTATGAATTCTGAATGTGTCCATCATCTGATGGTCTTCTAAATCATAAGACCATACACACATTCTTAAATTTTTTAATTTCTTAAATTCTTTAGGAAAGGAACTTTTACATATTCCCACAAATGTGTTCATTTATCCACCAGAACTTCCTTATATGATGTCTAAAATGGCTTTTCTTGATTACGTTGTAGACACGGTGTTCTTTTTTTAAAAAAGAACAGCTTAGAAGTTGAAGGTACTCTTCTGCTATAGGGACCGAATTCAGACATATATGGCCATATGTATGGATATATGTGTCCATCTATGCCTTTGGATATGTACGTACTTATGTATATATGTGTACACACACACATACTATATACGCAGCTATATACACACACACGTGCGTAATTACATACATTTATTAGTCGGGTTTCGATAATAGAAGAGTACCAAAATGAGTTCATTATTAATAGCATAATACTTGAGAACTTTCATAAGTCTCTATAATTTGACATGAATAATTTAGATATCGTGTTCATTTTTTAAAAAAATTATCTAGTAGTATACTAGTTTTTAAGGCAATATAAGGTAATGATTTTCCAAGTATGTTTAATTATTTGAAAATATTTTAGGTTACTCTGTTTGCTTTGATAGCTGTTGCAAATGGTCAATTTTTTCCATACGTGGAATACATACCTTGGCCGCTGATTTTCGGGAATGAATACGCAGCATCTCTCGGCGGAGCTCCCGTGGGTTTCTACAGCCAAAGAGCAGGTCTTTATGGACCAGAAATAACAAGTGGCTCACTTGGTGGAACCAGCGTCGGGTTTTACAACAGGGAATCAGCTGGATACTGAAGAAAAAATGTACAGAGTAAGTAGCTATCTTAATCATTCAGCAAATAAAGAATTAACGCTCAATATACATATAATACTTTTTTGAAGGTTCATCATGTTGAAATCACTAGTCTCCAATATTTCCCTCTTTTTAGCACGAAAGGGATGTTGGTCCCGAACGGGATATTAGTCTCGAAACGGTATTTTGTGTCAAAACTCTTAAATGCGTAGTATCACTTTTAAAATTGTTGCCACCAAATATTATCGGCCTGTATTATATTTAAATAAATTAAATAATAAAGAATCTGCATGAATGTATGCATACTTCTTGCATTATGAAAAAACAACGGTATCTAGAACCAGCAAATTTTCAATAGCGTTTTTGGTCCACAAGAATATGGACACCTGGAAAGCCGAATTTTGAATTTGTTTTATCATGTATTTCATATTTTGTGAAACTTCAATGAATTTTTGGTTACCCAATGATTTCAAAGCGAGTAGTGCCAACACTGTACGAAAAAAAAAAAAAAAAAAAAAAAAATTTTTGTCTCCAGCGCACGAGACTGCTTATTGGAAATTCTAAAGATATGCTCGACCAGATAATTATGATTTAATTATCTGGTGATTTTAATGTTGAACTGAACTTTCTGTTGCATAAGGGCGAAGATTGTGATATTTAATAAATAAACCTGTAGAGACATTAAGTTATTTGGAAGCAGGGGACATCAAAAATGAGCAATGCCCTCGCTGGGACTCGAACCACGGACCTCTCGAATACGCGTCGAGCGTGCTGACTAGTACACCACGATGTTTTGCTAAGAAGGTGGGAGAAATATCTTATTTACTCCCACTTTTAAAGGGCGACTGAGGATTAGGGGACCCAATCGCCAAATCCCGGTGGTGGAGAATCGTTATCCGCCACTGTAGAGCACTTAGGTTATTTGGAAGCAGAGACATGAAAAATGAGTAAAGCCCTCGCCGGAACTCGAACCATGGACCTCTCGAATACACGTCGAGCGGGATGACCACTACACCACGAAGAGTCAATTCCTACATAGGTCAACAAAGAAAAAATGTTTTAAAAAATTAAAAACTAAAAAAATTTTAATATGTGAAAAAAACTGTATTAACATCAAGTGTCCTCCACTGCAAGTTTAAAAAAATGTATTTTAACTTGAATGGATGAATAAAAGGCATTTTATTAACGACTGAAAATTTGAACAAGATATAGGGAGAGTGTGAGCTCTTAGTAGGAATTAAAAAAGCATCGTGACTAATAGCGGCGCGAATGCTGTCACCCACATTAACCAACTTTATAAAGCCTCGTTCGTTTTGGTGGAGGACTCTATCTAAGACTTAGTGACTTATCACGTCTTTTAAATTACGACCGACACGTGAAAAGGGCGCAAAAGAAATTTTTATTTAACTCAGAAAAAAGTTTAACAGAAGGAACTACTCGTGCTTGCCGAACCAGCCAGCATTTACGGCTTAACTCGAAACATAAAAGAATTAACATTCAACTAAGTTAATCGTAAATGAGGCAACAGGCTGACTGCAAAGGGCTCAAAACACGCAAATTGTCTCAGACCCAATATCCGTGTGACAATGGAGAGAATAACGCAACGGCGCAGTTACCCAGCACTCATGAGAATCAAGAGAAAATGTGGCTTTCAGCAGGCGAGACACTCTCTGATTCTAACCCTCTCAAACCTTACTTTAAATACTATCTATTGATACCTCATTTGAATACACGCGAACTAGAAATTAGCATTCTGGCAGGCAAATGGAAAGACAGTAAAAGTAATTGACATAAAATAACTGGTTATTAAAACTAAATGTATATTCTGCAATGTGTAGGTGTATTTATGTAATTATTTGTCCCTGCCTGTCAATGGACAGTCAAAGTTGTGCTAAAATTGCCATGAAAACGGTGGTAATAGTACGATTGTGCTTAGTCTATGGCAAACTATGTTTTAGTTTTCTTGTTTCATCAATAGATGGCGCCAGTAGTTTGACTCATTTCCTGTCATTCTTATCACCACATTCTATCACGTTCATTCGCACTTACGTAGCTGAAGAGGATAGTTTTGTATTTAAACCATCGAAACTAGTCCAGCAAGATCTTGCTGTTGAACTTCTCTAATAATCATTATTCGGTGTGTTATTTTAACCTAAACCTTAAGATGAGTTTAAAAAGACAGACTTTAAAAGTGACTGTTTGCCAGAATGCTAAGTTTAAACATGCGCTTTGCTTTGAATTTGAATCTGAAATTTGTCGTGGGAGAGTCTCAGTAACTTACCTTGTTAAATGATGGCTAAACTTGCTATACAAACGTGCTATGTCGATTTTTGGCAAAGTGCCAAATGTGTCTTTTTCTACGAGCACGTATAGCAGATTCGTGGTTTTAGTATACAATATATGTGTAACTATATATATGTAATGATTTCAAACAGAATTTATATCTAACAAGCATGACGTTCATGGTGCCTTGTACTTGATTTACTTGTCGTAACCAATGAAGAGTGTTTCTTTACAGACAGTAAAACAGAGTTGGTCATATTCCATAAGTTTTGATAACCAGGATTTTTGCGTAAAGATTTATGATTATATATTGCTACATATATATATTTTTTCAGGTTCTTAAGGCTTGGCTAAGAATTCTGAAAGAAATGAAAACTACAAGATTTGTCGAATTTGTGCTGTCTCCTGCATGCCTGGTGTCATACTGCTGTCATTTACTTAGCGCCCTTGTATTTTTCTGCTTGAAAAATAACGAATTACATGGAAAATATATAATGATTGCCTTTCTGCTCCTGCGCAATAAATAAATTTTAAAAAATTTTATTATTGATTATCATATTCAGCGGATATAACATGTTACTAATCGTTTTAAAGTATACTGATTGCAATCAATTCTTACAAATTATTTTCCCTATCCTTCAAACGAGAATATTAAAAAAAAAAAAAAAAAAAAAAAATTACACTAGCTCTTTCTTTACATTACGTAATGTACAATAGGAACACTGGTAAGTAAACTAAAACGACATTTCACACATTTTCATTATATTTCTACATAGTTTTCTTCGATTGAAAAATGAAAATATGTTTCTTCGGAAAGAGTAAAAACTGGTCCTCTTCCCATAATTTACTTACATGAGACATTTAAAATTCATAAAAATTCGGATAATTTGTTCCAATACTTTATTCTTTAATGTAAAAGTTGTTACCAATTAACGCTTTTATACTTACTTAATTTTAATTACTTGATTAATAAAAATCTTGCAGAAATAAGCGAATAATCCCTGTAATTTCTCTAAAACTTGCTGTTTATTAAGATATATTTATATAAGGAACAATATTATAGTATTTATTCACAGTTTTTTTCTTTCTCGTTCCCTATCAAACGTCAGATTCCTGCCAGCATTTTTACTTCCAAATGAAACTTTTATATTAATTTAGTAAAATTTTGAATTTTACTAATCAAATTTAAGACAATGTTGAGCATTTTGGTATCGTTGGCGATTTTTTATCCCCACCGAAATTATTACGGAAATAATGAAACAACGTTTAAAACCAACTAAATATGCATTGATATCTACGCTGTGCGTATGGGGAACAAAACGTAAAAAATGTCTTTATACTGAAACTAGAACATTAACTAACTAGAACATTCTAGTTACTTTAACACTAACTACTAGTACACTGATTACTATACTTTATACTGTACACTAACTACTGTACTTTATATTGTACACTAAACGTTACTGAATAACCGTTACTTTATGTTGTCCGCTAACTACGGTATTTTATATTGTACACTAACTTTTGTACTTTATACACTAACCATTGTACTTTATACACTAACTTGTACACTAAGTGGTTACTGAATAACCGTTACTTTATATTGTACACTAGCTATTGTACTTTATATTGTACGCTAATCGTTACTGAATAACATTTACTTTATACTCTATACTAAAGTCGTACATTATTTTGTACACTAACCGTTACTGAATAACATTTACTTTATACTGTATACTAAATATCGTACTTTATTTTGTATACTAACCATTACTGAATTACAAGTTCAGTGACAATTACTGAAGCTGAGTATTCAAAACTAAAGTGAATCAAATAAAATAATAAATGCAAAATAAATTCAAAAGAGTTAATCGCTGGCACACTCTAAACCTCTACCATGAGCTAAGTCGAACACAAGTACGAAGCAAGTAAAAAGCTGCCGAATTGGTACAGTCTGATATTTCTGGTTGCTAGCTGCCATATAAGTGCGCTATAGGAGCTTGATTATACAAGCTGAATAACAAGATGGATAAGAATCATCTTATTTATTTATTTATTTTTTCATAATCAGCTTTGACAATTATCTGAATTTGAAAACATTTTTAAAAACTAATATTTCAAGAACAGAATGTTTTCTTGAAATTTATATTATTTATTCTAACTAAATACAAATTCAGTTTCAAGCTTCAATTTAAGTAATTAATTTCAACATTAAATTCTACTTTTAAGGAAAGAGAACTTAAAACATGTAATAACTATAATTGTTGATTTTACCAAATTATATTCTGAATCGCGGCCCAACTGGTATAGTGATTAGCGTCGCTGATTGCCGCGCCGAAGGACTCAGGTTCGAATCCCGGAAAAGGCATGGATGTTTGTAAATGCATAGTGTCGGTTTGTAAACATGCGGCGAGCCGAAAGTATTCTCGTGGGGTTGGTAGAAGGGGAGAGGGGTAGGAAACCCTTTGACCCGTCCCCCGGGGTGCTCTCCATCAAATCCGCCTCCAAATTGGGGGCGGAACTGAGCTAAATCGCACTGACACCTGAATGGTGCTCAAGGCTGTTGCCAACTACTGGCGTAATTTAACGCTCCTTGCCACGAGGAATTTCGTGGGCTTGGGCTGACTACGTGAGATAAGTTAACATATGCAACAACAACAACATATTCTGAAGCAGAAACACTTATTACTCAATATTTAAATAAAATGGATACTATCTATATATAAATTGGAGTCACAATCCTTTTGTTTTCGTTATCTTAACCAAAACTGATACACTTAAAAGATGGCTAACAAGCGATTTCCGATTTAAACTTTATAACGTTAAATAAATAAAACATCTCAAAGGTCTCCCAAAAGGGTTTTTTTTACTTATTACGTGTTCTGCTCTTAGGCACTACATGGAAAGGGGGGATGGAGCGTGGACGTCTTTTTCAGGAAAACTGGCTCATATCCACGTTACACATGGGGAAAATCACAAGAACGCTCATGCAGCCCTCCACCGTTCTCCGAGACTTGAACTCCCGATCGAACTATCAGTGTTCAGCGGCTTTTGCCGCTCGGCTGCTGGTTCGGCTCAAAATAGTTTGTTAATTCTTTTCGATGCTCTTGAAGAGCTAGCAGTCTGCTAACCCATTTCTTTTTGTCTTTCTTGCTTTAATATTAAGCCTCATTTTCTTCGCACTTACGCCACATGCAATTCAAAAGCAAAATTACAAACATTTTAAAGCAGTATGTGTTTAGAATTGCCGATGAAGTGTTAAGAGCTGGCATATGTTTTTCTATTTTTTTCAGTCTTTTCTCAGTTTATTAAGTTTTCGTAGTAAGATATGGCTTTACAAAATATTTTTGTCTCTTTATTTTTAACGTTTTGCGTGTTAAATTTATTAATTAAATATCGTATTCTTCGCCCTTACTCCACATAAAATTCAGTTGATTATTAAAATCTCGAAATATTTAAAAACAGCATATATTTAGAACTTTCGATAAATAGTCTCGAGCGCTGGAGATAACAATGTTTTAATCAGCACAGTGTTGACACTGCTGGCTTTCATATCGTTCAGTTCGTTAAAAATTCATAAAAGATTTACAAAATAAAAAATGAAAGATTAGAAATTCCAAATTTGGACTCCCAGGTGCACATCTTCAAATGGAGAGCTACGTTATTTAAAATTTGATGGCCGTAGGTACTATCGCTTTTTCACAGTGCCAGAAGCGTACATATATTTATGCAGATTCTTCATTATTTAATTTATTTAAAAGTCATACAGGGAGATAATATGTTTTGGTAACAATCTGAAAAGTGGTTCAGCCATTTGAAGCTGCTAAATCCATTTTTGGGACTAATAATCCAATTAGGCTAACGCCATTTTGGGCTAAATGTCTAAAACTGTGGCACTGATTTCGATACTCATGAAGATCCACAATGCTTTCAATTAAATATTTGAACTGAAAAGTAAAGTAGAAAATTTGTTAGTGTACCTCAATATTACCGCAAATGAAAAAGAAGATGTTTTTAAAAAATTCCTCAAACTGATATGTAAACAATTGTTGAAAAAAAAATATTGTTAATTGTTTAAATACCGTCAGATTGGCTATTGATGTAGAAGAAAGTTTGAGTAATTCCAATAAGACAAAAATAAATGTGCATGAAATGTGGGTTAAAAATCATATATAACTGTGGAAGAAATAAAAGAGAGAAATATTCAGGATCTAAACTTTGATTTTGGAACATTACTTCCAATTTTATGAATGTTTCGTAATTCCAGATATCACAATAATCGTGTTAAATATAATATAAAAGATGCTTTCTGATTACTACACCTCCAATGGATTTTGTTTTTGTCCAGTTGTCTTTTGTTTTTATCCTCTACAGTCATTTGGCTTATGGTAACCGTGGGAAGCAGTTCTTTGAAATAAAACCAAATGGCAATCGGAAGACGACATTCCATTTTGTAAGAGATTATTCAACACAGAGCTTGTATTAAAAATCTTTTCAATCCAAGCACAGCCTTTTGTAAGAAAAATAGCACGCTTTTGAAAGGCTTCTGAAGTTTAATAATAATAAAAATCTCATTCTTTACGCAAGCTGATATCTTGCACATGATTAATCCGAATTTGTATTGTGCTGAAGGAATTCTTCGTTTGTTGAATTCTGTGTCGAATTGAGGCCAGGGTGTTAGTGGAAAAACGTTTCGAACGACATTCTCTCTTCTTTTTCTTCTGTTTTATTTTTAAAGAAGGAAGATGTTTCCAATGTAATACAAGGATGGAAGGAAATATTATTACATAAAAACTCGCTTCGAAGGAAATTATGTAAAAAACTTTAAAACTCTGTTTTTGTATGATGCCCAGAGCAGTGCTTAGTTTGATTGTTGCCTACGTCAAAAAATAAATGCGCGTTTTTATGCTCGATATATGTTGGTAACATTGATATACTTATACAGCCAATTTCTGTTTGTTCCACGCTTCTGACTTGGCAGTCTATTCACAAAAATAATTTTAGAAATTTACAACAAGATAAAAGCTCAAAATGAATTCATTAAATAGTAAGCATACTGATTATTCAACATGTCCACCTCTATGCAGCTCCAGAATGATTCGAAAAAAAAAATATAATAATAAATAGCAAATACTGTATCCATATGTTAAAACTAAAACTTGAAAAGATGTAGCAAAGTAAAAAGAAAATTCGTGATGAATTTCCGAAGTTACAGTAACGCAGCTGATGGAGCTGTATAAATGCCCCTCGCTGATAAGATAATTGCATAATTTCATTGTCTACTGATTATATTTGTTTTCTTTACTTTCTTTTCGGTTTGCTTCTCATATAACTTTGAAATAAAGGGAAACGTACGAATTTTTTTATTAATTACTGGCAGAAATCATATACGTATTTACAACTCCATGGATGATGTTTAAATTTTTATGTTTCAGGCAAGGAGGTTAGAATCTTTATGTCCCGTGCAATGAAAATGAAGCCATGACACGTCACGTATGATGTCATCAC